TGTTGGACATTAACTAATCGAGTAGTTGAGAATCGAGTAATCTAGATGAAGATGACACTGTAGTACCATGCATACTCAAGCGTTTTCCGATCTTCTCCGGGGAAGATCTGAGACTTTTCTGAGTTGCCCACGGTACACAACCCATTCACGACTGCTTTTGCCTTTATTTCTTTCACGCGCTAGTTGTCTCAGTTCGTAGTCATTCTTTCTTTCCTCTGCGGTCATACTTTTGCGAACAAAAACATTAGCGTAGCCTGACCCTCGGAGCAGCCTAGCATTAGCTAAAGCCTTACGCCAATGAGATTGCGACGGTAGTACAACTTTGATTAAGCGCGGTCTTTTGGGGTCGATTTTACCAATCCTGAAAGCTTCTGTGGGTCTGCACTCAACATTAAGAACGTCGAGAATCTCAGAGACCTTTCTTTTCAACATCGCTTTGCCGTTCCGATGGGGCTAGGTTTTCAGGGGACTCACTGATGCCAGATATAACAATGCTCCTGCATCTTTTTTCGGACTCTATGTGGGATGAGAATTCCCTGGTATTTTCTCTGACAGGACTGTGAGCATGTGCGCTATAACAGGATCTTTGTTCCGCTCAAGTATACATTTGATTAAGTCAGCGGATGTCATATTTGCATACTCACTTGGACGGATTTCACTGGACTCAGGAGTCGTTTCCTCCTCTATGACAGGCAAAGAACTGCAACTAACTTTGCTACGCATCGTGCGAGGCATACTTGAAGAAGAGAACCAACGTATGTTGTAAGGTTGAAAGCAACCGCAGACAAGCAAAACGCAACCACTCTATGGGAGAGCAATGATTCGAATTAGTTTTTTTTAAAACGCCTCATCCCCACTGGCCCCTTGAAAAGGGCCGGTACTTTTGCTTTTCGGCAAAGGTGGCCGAGAAGCAAGGTATTTTTGCTATTTTTGCTCGAAGGGCATCATAATGCCCTTTTGAGCAAAAAACTCGTCCCTAAGTTCTCGGGATTCATGAGATCTCGCGATGGGGATTTCTTGGGGAACACTCCCAGCTGCGCGAAAAACCCGTTTCCTGTGTACCGTTTCAAGTGAGCGTGTTCGAATAACCAGGAACGCATGAAAAACGTATCCTGTGGTGGAGCAGGAGCAGAATATGGTTCGTTTAGCGCCGATCACGCTGACTTTGGATGCGCCGCGCACTGAGGTCCGTGGGTTTTGAGCG